CCAAGCATACGTCACATAGGGATATGGGTCATCGAGCGTGAGCTCTTAACACCACCTCCCCCCCCCCGGGGCACACCTCTATACAGGCCAAACGCCGGGTTTCCCCGCCGCCAGACCACGCGACAGCACGCCGGGAAGCTCACCCCCCCCCCTCTAACCTTAGGGAACCTCAAGCATAAAATGGCTCTATTACTCATATTCTGATTTTCATTAAAATAAATTTTCTAACTTCGCTGTAACTATATGTAGAATATGAAAATGTCACAACACATTTTTAACATCTCACATTCGCTGCTTGTTCAAACAGATTTGGAAAGCAATATAGAGCCGGCATACATAGTGCCTGAATAAATTTTATTTTAAAACCGATTTCGTTTTTTAAAAAAAAATGAATGAAGAAAGTATGTAGTTTATAATGCATACGCTTTAGGCGTGTCATCTCATTGAGCTCAGCACAGAGAGCAGCATTACTTTCGCCTCCGGATATCTCCACGACAAATGTCGTGTCAAAGTTCACCATTCACCAGTCTAGAGCTGGATATCTCCACGACAAATGTCGTGTCAAAGTTCACCATTTACCAGTCTAGAGTTAATGTGGGCGGTTTCTTTTTGCAACGACTACCTTCTGGTAGTACAGGCAACGAGCTTAAAGTTGGATTCAAGTTTTTTTTTTTTTTTTTTTTTTTCATTTTCTAGTTTGTGATTTTTTTAAAAAAATGATCTCATCAGACGTATTTTTACCAATGCCTCCAAGTGGATGCTGAGGATGGAAACAAGGTGTCATTAAAAAGGATTAACAATTTTAATTAAAAAGAGTAGCCTGTTCCTTACAAACTTAAGGAAGCGCCCCAGAACGGAAAAACCATCACTCTCTAAAATCTACCGAAACTTTCAGCGCCCCCACCGCCCCCTTGGCCATCTCACTACCCCCCTCTTCTCGATAAGCTTTCATGGCCGCAAAAGTGTCATATTTTAAAAAGCCAGTTACTTTCAGCTGTTCATACGAGTGCTCTATTTTACGGGAGAGAGGGACGGGCGGTACCGCCCACTTTGAAAAAGCCCTTTATAAAATTGTTGAAATAGGCCCGTCTTCACACATAATATGTACTCTGTGTGTGTGCTTCTATGTGCGTGTTTCTGTGTGCACGTTTCTGAATGTGTCTGTATGTGTCTGTATGTGTCTGTATGTGTCTGTATGTGTCTGTA